ATTCATTTAAAAGAACCCTAGAAAGTAGTGGCTATAACTAAAACGAAGGAAAATCTGGGTATATTTATCTACTATTCATATTTTTTAAAACTATGGCTTTATTTTGCTTGAGTTTTTTTTTTTACCTCTTCTACAATAAACATTAATATATGATATAAAGTTTCTTTTAGTTAGCCCAAGTAGAAGTGTTTTTCCTTCTTCCCTTTGGTATTCTGTTTGCAAAACAAGTAAAGCAGGTTTTATAGACTAAGGTAACTAGTTCTATTTAATGAATCACTTTATTAAAACTGTTATATATCAATTTTGTTATAGCCTAACTCACAATTTATACTTTTAAAACTACATTCCTTCCTTGCACGCCCCTCCCTTAGAAAGTAGAAGGTTTTTCCAAAATTTTTTACTTTTAAATCATCAAATTTTTATCTTTTCTGCAGATAATATCACCTACCGCATTATTTTTGGCTGCAAAAGTGGAAGAACAGGCTCGAAAACTTGAACATGTTATCAAAGTAGCACATGCTTGTCTTCATCCCCTAGAGCCACTGCTGGATACTAAATGTGATGTATGTAAAAATAATTCAATTGGTGTTGCCTTCCAACTGCTGATTATTTCTTTTATCATTTAGGAATATAATAACCAGGGAGTAATCTAACAAAACATTTTGTGTATGTACATGAATTTCAGTGTCATTCTGAATCATGTTAAGGTTATGATTCAAGGGTGGTTTACAAGTGTTTCATGTTTTGCTGATTATCCTCACAGCAAACCTATGGTATATGTAGAGGGTAAGTCATATCACCTCTGTTGTTTGGGTCCATTTGAGACCAGAGATAACCCTCTAAAATTGTCGGCAATGAAAAAAAAAAGGAAAGGAAAGGAAAGAAAAACCTCTGGACTTGTCCCTAGATCAGTAAATAGTAATTCTACAGAGTTGTTCCTTGGTTAATGCATGTATACCAATAGTTATCTCTCTGATACTGACACATAAAGATGCTATTTTACTATGCTTTCACAAGAGGGTTTTTTTTTTTCGTATTTTAATTTTCATTAAGAGTAATGCAAGTTTTGAAGAACTTGTTCATCATCAACATTTTAACAGACCTTGTTTGAAAGTGCCATTTTAAAGTGTTATAACAGAAGGTAGAATTCTAGACTTTTTTTTTTTTTTTAAGATAGATTTATTTGTGTGTGTGTGAGAGAGAGAGAGAGAGAGAGAGAGAGAGAGAGAGGCAGAAACACAGACAGAGAGAGAAGCAAGCTCCATGCCGGGAGCCCAATGCGGTACTCGATCCCAGGACTCCAGGATCGCGCCCTGGGCCAAAGGCAGGCGCTAAACCTCTGAGCCACCCAGGGATCCCTAGACCTTTAAATTCACTTTCCCAGCATTTGTATTATGGATGTGTTCCTTTATCAGAAACTTTTAACTACTGAATGAGTGCTAGATTGTATCAGTTCACTTTCATTTAGTTCAATCTTAAGGTCCAGATTAAGTATATCTGACTTTTTAAAAATATATCTGAGTTTTTATTGACAAGTTTTATCTTACATGTTGGCTTTGAATGAGATACTAATGTAATCATTTGGTGATAAAGACTGATTATTCAGAGATTGTTCTTCTAATTTTTATTAACTTTAAAAATCAGAATTATTTTTGATAAATACTTGATATTCAAATAATAGAAATCTATGTTTTTAAAAAAATCATCTTAGTGACCTTTTCATAAAGAGACAGAAAGGTGCTTTTCACTCTGAGTTTAGCAGCATATCCTTACTTGAATATTTAGATATGATGTATTTATTTTAATCACCTTACTCAGTTGTCATAATTTAAGAAATTTGATAATGGTAGAAATTTTTCATACTCTTTATTCCCAGAGTAATTGCCCTAGGGGAATGATTTGTTGAAGTTGAAAGAGAAGGTCCTCTATTTCCCTGTGGGTGTACGATAAATTCTTTTGGTATTTTACATCCAAAGTGTTTTAATCTAGAGATTTGAGGGTTTGCTTTGATTGTATTTTGTCTTTTCTGAAGACAGAAAGTTTGTAAAAAAGAACTCACTGACTTACTCTGACCATCAAGGAATTACCACATGAAATATCTTAGACTGAGTTGATATGCCTTTTCTCTGCAGGCAGGTTTGAATTTAGTGTTCTTACCTGAAGAGATATGCCTATCTTAAGTGTCTTGAAGCACCAGTGCCCATGTGAAGTTTTATGTTGTAGGCTGGACAGTGTTACTTTAAGTTAAGCTCTACCTCCTTTCATGTTATTGTTGTCTTTTTAGGGGTTTTGTTGTTTTTTGTTTTACCTTGCTTACATATCCTATATTAGAAGTAATTCAGTTTAGATTGGTTGCAGAAAATAGGATTTCTCTGTCACCCTCAATTTATTTCCTTTATGTTTCCAAACTACTCTGGTTCTTTTGTAATCTGTCTCTAATTTTTATGAGATTTAATGGTCCCATAGTCTAGTAGTGTTTATCTTAATTATTTTAATGTTATTATTTTTACCTGACAGGCTTACCTTCAACAGACTCAAGAACTGGTTTTACTTGAAACCATAATGCTACAAACCCTAGGTATGTATTTATGTCAGATACTGTTTTTACGTATGCTCTACAGTACAGTATTCTAAAGATGGAATAAATTTATCATTGAAGAAAGTGTCGTTTTAAAACAAGGTATGGGACCAGAATGGTATTGCCTGGTTATTAGGAAACCTTTTTTTTTTTTAAATTTCATTTGGCATAATTAATTGAATGGTAAACATAGTTTTCATTGTGAAAGATTGCATATGATTATAGAGTGTGCAAATATTCTGACTTATAGTCAGTATTTAATGAAATTATTACACTTTTAATGTGACACAGTTATTTAAATGTTGATCATCCTTTTCTAAAAGTTATATCGTTTGCAAGTTTTGTGCAATTTGATTGCTAAAGATTATTCTAATCTTTCACTTTATCATTGTGGAAATTGAGACCTGAGAAATTTTGTCTTGTGCAAAGTCATAGATTACTTCGGGAAGAACTTAGTGTGTGATGGGAGTAACATGACCTTTATGGAGATCTTGGTTTAAAAATCTGTAGGCCTTTGACTTGCTTTGTAAAATTCAGCAAAGTTGTTTTACCTTTCATACCTCCGTTCTGTATATGTCTGCCTTAACATTGTGAAGTTGAAGATAAGAGTGTATAAATAACATGTACCACATAGTGTATGCATTAGAAGTAACCATTATTCACTATGGTAGTTATTTATTACTCTATTCCTAGTCGTTGAAGAGAGGTGTGATAATCATAGCCTCCCATTATGACATCCTTTTTTTTTTTTTTTTAGAAAAGTAGCTTGCTTGATGTTTTTATAGTATAAAAAGATATAAAAATAGGAGTCTTGTTCTCCGAATCTAATGATTTAGCATGTTACTGCATTTATTATATAAAATTCTATGAATATGAAATTTAGATAGGGAAACAAACCATGAGAGACTCCTAACCCTGGGAAACAAACAAAAGGTTGCAGAAGGGGAGGTGGACTGGGGGTTGGAGTATCTGGGTGATGGGCACTAAGGAGGGCACTTGACGGGATGAGCACTGGGTGTTATACTATATGTTGGCAAATCGAACTCAATGAAAACAAAAACAACAACAAATTGAAATTTAGAAAGATTTGCGTAATAAAGGTTAAAAGGAAAATTAGATTATTTTAAGGGAAATTTTAGAATTTATAAGATATACTTCTCTGGTTTTGATTAAAGTGTGATTTTGCAGGTTTAATTACAGTAGAAATATAAATAGATCACACAACAATTTTAAAAATCTACATTACCCCTTTGTTAGGATGTTATTCATTTACTACTGCTGAAGACACTAGATGTGACCTCCACTTTTTAAAAAAAAGGAAAAACCCTGCCCTACCTAACGGTTGATTAGACATTGAAAGCTCTTTCAGCATTTTGTCTTTGGTTTTAAAAACAGTGATTTAAAGAATCTTGAGGCCACAGGTTCTTTTCTTTTATTTTAAAGATTTTATTTATTTATGAGAGACCGAGAGAGAGAGGCAGAGACATAGGCAGAGGGAGAAACAGGCTCCATGCAGGTAGCCCAGTGCAGAACTCAATCCCAGGACTCTGGGATCACGCCCTGGGCCAAAGGCAGATAGATGCTCAACTGTTGAGCCACCCAGGCATCCCGATTCATTTGTTTTAATAACTTATATTATCAGTGAAATGTAGTTATAATCTAACTGGTTGGAACCCTTTCATCTACGGCATACTAAATACTAAGAAAATAAGAGGACTATAAACATTTAAAAGGTCTTTTTTTTTTTTTTTTAAAAAGATCTATTTATTTATTTGTTCATGAGAGACACAGGCAGAGGGAGAAGCAGGCTCCCTGCTGGAGCCTGATGTGGGACTCGATCCCGGAACTCTAGGATCACGGCCTGAGTCGAAGGCAGACGCTCAACTGCTGAGCCACCCAGGCATCCCAAAAGGCCTTTTCTCCCACTGTAGCTCAGGGATTATATTTATGAGAATACCCTGTTTACATCTTCTGAAAGAATTGAAATACATTTTACAAATATGTTACATAGTTGAATTCTTTGCGTAATAGTTGTAATTTCCATAATTTTAGTTTGTTTTTAACCTTAGGGTAATCTCAAACTTACTCAGAATTTTTAATAAGTATCACCCCAATCTATAAATAACTGCTACCAATTTTCATTAAATGGAACATTGTTTCTGAGAAGAAATTATTTCTTGTCCTTGAAAGTATAATGAGCATTATCAGTGACAGAAAATAACTTTGTCTTTGGATCTTTTTAATAATGAATAGTATATTACACATTTATGGTTGTGCTGATGAATGACATTTCTCAGGCAAGTATTTTAGTGTGGTAAGTGATTGGGAAAAAAGTGCTTTTCATTTCAGGTTTTGAGATCACCATTGAACATCCACACACAGATGTGGTGAAATGTACCCAGTTAGTAAGAGGTAAGTGATCTTTGAAACTTCTAAATTAAGTACAAATGTTTTGAAACAACAACTTTTGGTGTTCTCCATCTACCTATTCATCTACTTCTGTATGTAGTTCTACCTGGTGAATTAGCTTCCTTTAAACTTACAGGAGAAAAATAAATAAACTTACAGGAGAATTTCTGTTCACTAAAAATTGGAGGGCTTCCAAATATTAAGATTTTATCCTACCTCCCCATTGGGCTAAGCCATTCTCATTTCATTTAATATTTAAGAAGTTGGCCATCAAAATATACATGCAGAAAATTTCTGGTCTATCTCAAACTTTCATTGACTTCTAAACAATTATTATAATTTAAGAATTTGGAGGCCACCCTCAGATCTTTCAGATAAAAATTGTCTTAGCAGATTTGCCATTTTGGAAATATTTTCCCCATATTCATTTGAACAAAATTGACTTAATGCATTTTTCAAAGTTCTTTAGCATTACTGAAAATAATTTCCTTTGTGTGTGTAATAGGGAAATATAGTATGCTACAGACAGCATGTGATGTGCCTATTAAACCTTTTAAAACAGGAGTAGGAACTTTTTGTATTGTTTGCTTTACTGTTTATAAAGCATGTGGTACACATTTTTCTACTCTTGTTAATGAATCCTATGTATCTGTTCTTGTATCCCTAGAAATATTCTTTAAGTAGTTGCATGTTGTTACACTACTTCTACTTTGCTGTTTCCCATTTGAAGTGTTAATGTACTAAGAAGAAACGCTTGGAACCTTCATTGTGCCTTTTTCTGTTACTTTTTGAAAATGAGATTCTGCAATTTCATTCTTTTACCCCCAGACTTCTTTAGGTTTATTCTAAACAAAATGGGTAAGACTAATAAGGGCTTTGCTTTGTTTTTTTAGTGTTTATCTGAATATTTTAAGTTTATTCATTTTAAATTGAATTCATACGTTAATGGCTATATTTAAAACAAATCTGTTGTTACAGTGTCGTTGTTAAGAACTGGACTTCTAAAAAAAAAAAAAAAAAGAACTGGACTTCTGAAAGTCCAGTTGATTCTAATAGCTAGTACATGATCCTAATAGCTAGTACATGTTATGGCTGATAGAACATAATTAATTATGGTTCCTGTAATTCATGGTTATCAGAATATAATTTAGAGCTTATTTTTATCCCCAGAATTACCATGTAGTATAGAATTATGTAGGTAACTAGTGTATTTGTTTGAATTAAGAAGGAAAAGTTAGAGTAGTTTTCCTGTAAACTTGAAAGAATAAGCTGTTTGGTCAGAATAATGAGGAGTCCATGTAACTTTCCTTTAAGCCTAATGAAAAAAAGATAGAAAAAAGATATTTTTATAGGTTAAAATATATATATATATATATGTGTGTGTACTTCGAGATGAAACTGGATTTTCAGATTAATATCATTGTGAAATTTGAGTCATCCTTAAAGATCCTTAATCAGAATTCAGTAGCTTTTTTTGCATGTTCCCCTATATCTAAAGCTAGAGACATCAAGTGCATTCATTTGCAGAGTTGGATAGTAAGTTTTTTAAAAATTCACAAAAACTAGAAATTTGAGGTTTTATCCCAAGCAGAACATTTAAGTCTTAATTTTTTGTTGTTAATGGTTAAAATGTGACCGATTCTTAAATTTTAGTACAAATCTTACATATGTTTAACTTCCATTTTGTCTGACTAACATTTCAGGTAACTATAGTTTACATCTCACTCCATTTAAAAACATTCTTTCATGTTTGGTGTCTGTTTTTCTTTGCTCTGTTAAAATTTTCAGCTAACAAAAGAACATTTTTCCTACATTCTTCCTCTATTGCACACTGTTGATAGGTTATTAAATTTAGATATATTCTGAGGTGAAAACTGCTATGGCAATTTAAAATTATTTTTACTTCCTTCTCTACATATTTTGATTCTTTGGGGATATGGGGGTGGTAAATGGTTTGGTTTCTTTAAAATTCTTCTCCCCCTGTCCCACCCCCTCTGGAGATGAGAAAGTCGATATTATGCTACTTTGCTGCAGAATTGGCTAATGTCATTTTACAGGGACCTTTCATTTCTGTGATTTCTCCTTCCCTCCCCACCAGGAAAGAATGCCATACATAAGTCACACTGCCTCCAAGACATCTGATGCTTTGACACTCTTCCTTAGCACAACTCTGCTAAGCCCAAATCCCTTTTGTATCCCTTATGTTGGTGATCCACAAGGGGCAGCAGGGATTACAGGTGCCATGAAAAAAATAGGCCTGTTAGAGAGGGGTGAGTTGAGGTAAACTGATCCTAGGTGAGCAGAGGGATAAGGTACATCAATTAATTATGAATGTAATTGGGGGAAAAGGGGAAATTATAGCACCAGAATCCCTATTGGGAAGAATACGATACAGATAAGGTGAGCGGGGTACTGTTTTCAATTTCAGTGTCTTAAAAGCTAGTTAAAATTTGCTTTTCCTTTGGGGACCAGTGCTGAAGCATCCTGATTCCCTAGAGTACTTATATCTTTTCTAAAGTTGACAATTGGATTCTATAAAAAATATATATTCAGTGTAGTTTTCTATATCTATACCCTTAGGATGTTTCTAGGTTGTTTATTCCTTGTTGTTGCTTAGTAGCATGAAAAACTGGGCAGTTTGTGCTCTCTTGAATTTGGGGGGTGGGGGTTTGTTTTGTTTTCTTTTCTTTGGATGGAAGTACTTAAGCCAACTTAAATATGATGACTGAGGATTAAGTCTGGCAGGCAACTCTTTGTATTTTGTATTAGACTTCAAAATCTTCTCTTCTTCTTCTTCTTCTTTTTTTTTTTTTTTTTAAATCCAGGAGAATGCTTTATTGCAACTTTTAGCTGACTAGATGCTTAACTTAGTAACAAGTTTAGCCCTTGTAACTGGCTAGCTAAAAGCAAATCGGCTTGTTTCTCAGATCTTTGGGGGATAGCAAGAAACATTTGAGTGAATGTTGTTGAAGATTTTCAGTAGTATAGAAAATGATGGCGCTCTTGTGATATTTGTAAGTAGTAAGTAAAATTTACTTTTTGTGTACAAAACTTTGAAGTTTTTGTTGTGTTGAGAACTTTTTGATGGTAGCACAATAAAGCTGATAGTATTGTCTTCGTTTTTTTTTTCTTTTCTTACAGCAAGCAAGGATTTGGCACAGACATCCTATTTCATGGCTACCAACAGGTTGTTATCCTGACCCTCTTTGTTGCACTGTTGTAGCACACTATAGCTTCCTTTAATGCAGGGCCCCCTCAATGTGTCTCTTACCCTTGTTGCAACAGGAGACTGGACCATCTACTGTGGTGGTACCTTCCTGTCTGCTTTGCGGTGTATTGTACAAGGGACTTTTGGCACAGAGGGGTTAAATGCACATTGTGAAGTGTAGTGGTGCTTTCTGATGACATATTCTCGATTTGTGAGTGCATAAGTCTAAAATTGGTAGCCTGAATAGCAGCTAAAGATTACAAAGAGCTAAACTTAACGTAGAAATTCGAGCAACTTGGTAAGTATAAAGCTATTTCTAGTTTACAATTATAGTTAAATGACAATATTTTTTAAAATTTCACATTGATCCAATCTTAACTTTAAAATAATCATTAAAGTATTTTTTAATAAATAAAATTTATATAACATGGGTTCTTTTTCCAGATAATGCCCAGATAATACTAGTTGTAAATCAGAAGTAGCCAAGTCCTGTCAGTGCCTAGATTTGCATAAGTACAATTTTTACTTTAAAAAAACTTCCTTTTCAGTTTACATAAAGAAAAAATGGTGTGGGTTTGCAGTTGATAAACATTTTCATCAATTCTGAGCAGAAATGAAAGAATAACTTTTTTAAAGCCTTTAATATCTAATACATAATTCTGTTCTGGGTTAATTATATTAATGCCGTAAATTTGTTTTTTTAATGGGTCATTCGGGAGGAGGGGACCAAACTAGCATTGTGTGGTCCTCAATTTCTTGTGACACTGTTAAGTTTTATGTAAAACATTGGATTGGCAAATGCCAATATATTTTCTTTAGGTATATGTTGTTGGAATTTAATCTCTATCCCTAGAAATTTTGAACAACAAAAAAGAAAGTACTAAATATAAAACATTGGTTAGAAAAAGCTAGTTGTCACATGTTATGTGCCCAGTTTGGGACATATAATAGGAGAAAGATAGCATTCTTCTAGTGTATGGCAGCATTGGGCCTTGCAGCTCTTCACCAGAAGGTAAGTTTTCTCTGTGGCTTCGCCAGAAAGGAGACAGAGGTTTATATAGATCAGGGTTAGATTCTCTTTGACTTGAGAACTATGTTACCTCACATCAGATGGTAGGATTCCTGATTCTTACTTGATTCTATAATGTGATGTTGAAATTACTTTGTCAGTTTTACAGTCTTCTGCTTTTTCTTTATTCTTTTGCCATGGCATTACATAAGAAACAAAAAGGCTACAAAAAATTAAAATGTTATACTTGTTTATGCTGATTATTGAAAATATACTGTCTTCCCCTCCTTTTATAAAAAAGTAAACTACTTCAAAATTTAGAAATATTAATGTATTAACAGTAATAGATATTACTATAATGCTCTTGGGGAGTCAGACAGAATATGGATAATGTTCATAATTTATGTAGGTTTTTAGTATTAAAATTTTATAACTCGTGCTAGTTTTTAGTTTAATAAAATAAGGTTTTGTACTCTAGACTTATAGAAAAAACCTCTGTTTTTGCTTTAATCTTACTGGGAAATATTTTTCTTTGTTTTACATATTTGAATTACTATGGTTCTTCGTTTTCAAACCTGCTCTACAACAGTCTGCACCTTACCACCTTCTGTCTTCAGTACAAACCAACAGTGATAGCATGTGTATGTATTCATTTGGCTTGCAAATGGTCCAATTGGGAGATTCCTGTGTCAACTGATGGAAAACATTGGTGGGAATATGTGGATCCTACGGTTACTCTAGAATTACTAGATGGTAAGTAGCTAAAAAAATCTCTTTACATTGAAAACATTTTTTATTATGGAAAAATTCTGCCTACTTTTGTATAGGTTTGAAAAAGAATGAATCCCTGTAGGCTTATACTTAAGTGAACAGTTACCAATTCTGGCCACTCCAATGTCTCCCCTTCTGGAACTCTTTAGTTATTTTGATATTAATCCCAGGTATCTCTTCAACTATTAATATTTCAGTTTGTGTTTCAAGAGTTAAGAGACTCCTTAAAAACATAACTATAAGTTCATTTTAACATTTTAACTTAAAAACATAATTACATGGTCAAATGAATAGGATAAAAATAAGGATTCGTTAGCCTAAACGAAGAAAAAAAAACTTGAAAAAATAAATAATTAAAAACTTGAACATATTTTAACCACCAATGAACATCAAAGCTCTTTCAGGATTTTTAAAATATATATATATATATATATATGATTTATAATGGTATAGGTTGGTAGTACAAGAATCTCAAAGTCGGTTATAACTTGTAGTACATGTGAAGCATTGAAATAAAGGTATCTCAGGGTAATATTCCTTGCTCTGTAGTCCCACTGTAGTGACGTATGTCATTGTTGCCTTGCATTAAGTATGAATAAAATCAGCATACAAATTCTATAAATTGTGACCTTGGAATTGGGTCTCCAAATAAGAAATTTCTCTGGTTAAGATATAAGAGAAGCTGACCAGAGGTAGAGATTCTTGAGGAGTAAGACATTTTATTTAACCAAGTACTGTAGATTTCAGAAAGGGAAATAGATTGCACTTCTTACCAAAAATACACTTAAACTGGTATGTTAGGTTTTCAGCTTATTTTTGTGGACTTTCGCTAAACTTCTGTTGCAAAATTGAAGCTAATGGGAAAATAGGATTTATACCTGTTGCTACTGAGGACGTCTTCTACATAGAGACCCTTCTAGGTTTCATATGTGATCTTCTAGTAAAATCTCAACATGTTTCTGTAACCTAGATGTTTCTTTTCTGTGAAGGGCCAAATAGTAAGTTTTTCAGGATTTATGAGCCCTTCTGTCTATGCCAACTATACAACTCAGCCACTGTAGCTAGAAAGAAAGCAGCCATAGGCAGTCTGTAAATGAATGGGTATGACTGGGTTCCAATAAAACTTTGTTTACATACACAAGGTACAGGTCATAATTGCAGTGGTTTGTCTACATTTCTGGTAAAATATCCTTCCTTTGTAGATCTCTTGATTTTCAGGGGTTTTTCCCTTGAAAAATTTCTTGCAGAGTATCTCATGCTATATTACTGCCACATGATTATGTTCTTTTTCTTATATTGCCAGAGGTTTTTTTATAGTTTAACGAGAGAGAAAGAAATCTTCAATGAGTTGAAAATGGCGTCTTCTAAAAGCCATTGGGGGCTATTTTTCTTTTGACTTGAAAATTAGGTTATCTATGCCACCATGGTACTTCAGCAATTAACAGATGAGATAAAGTAGGTATAATCTGAATAAAAATAGTTTATGTACTTGATCCTAAAACAAAGTTCACAAAAAGCAAGTAATCTGCCTCTTAACAGTGCTTTTAAATTATTTCTAAAGTTGTTTTGACTCAGCAGGGGCCATTGAAATGATCCTTCTGCTTCCATTCTGAAAAGGCTCCAGTTTGTTATTCATTTGAAGAGCCATTGAATAGGAATCTAGGACATTTAAGACATTGACAATTTCAGCATCTCATAAAGCAGTCTTTCTCTGTGTTTTGGTCACAAAAAAAAGAAAAAAAATAACAGTTGAAGATATATCTGAATTTCAGCCTGGTGTTTAAGCATCAGTGTTCACTAAAATAATTCATTTAATGACTGTTGTAGAAACAGCATTGGCTTGGACTTGGCCTATCTGTAACGTTTGCTGTTGTTGTTTTGCAGTTATAATTTTGTTTTGCAGTTATAATTTTTTTCATAATTTATGATACAACAAACCTTCATGTGTTTTTTGCATTTTGAATTTTTTTTCTGTATCCTAACTTTGAGGGGGGAAAAAGTCTCTGTTTTAAGCATCATACTGTGATTTTTGTGCACATTACTAATATATTGGTGATTATTTGATAGATTCTTTTGATCCTCCACTATAAAATTCAGTAAGAAAATAAAAACAGAACTTATATTTTGTGCCTGCTATATAGGCAAGTTTTGGACTGGAAACTATCTACATTTAATCTTTGACAACCAAGCTGTTAAATCAAAATAATTTCTTGTTAATTTTGGATTCAAAAGTATTATGTATCTGCTAGATTTGTGTCCAAAGTATAGAAAGGTGGGAATTTTTCAAATTAGGAAATACAGTAGTCCAGGCATTAGATTGTTTTCAAACTGGATGTAAAAGTTAATGAATGTTGAGCAAGTTTTAGTTGTCACAGCTTATGAACATAAGTGCCGAGTTTTTGCATATTTTTTGCTTCAAGAAAAATTCTATATTGTCTGAATTTCCATTATCAATCTTAGCATGTTTGCCTAGAATAGTTTACAGAGAAGCTTACTATGTGTACTAAAAATAATAAATCTATGTAGCCTCTATGGAATTTGCATTAATATTACATGATACTGTAATTCATTTGACCGGTATGTTTGTTTGTCTTGAGTGGTCAGTAGCTTTATTAATGGCACTATTTTGAGGTAGGAAAGTAGAATTCATCATAACCATACCACCTTGGAAAAGTAAGTCATCCCCATCCTAAATTTAAGGGAAAAAATGAGTTAAAAATATATGACCAAGGGTGGTTTTACTAATATGTTAATGGTAATAATTACTAAGAGGCTATGGGTATAGGTGGAGGAATTTTTGTTTAGCTTTGAAATAATTTTAAACTTAAATTACAAGATAGTACAGTTTTACAGCTTTTACTGGTTTTTCTGTGAACATTTTACATACATACATGACTATCAAAACCAAGAAATTAATGTTGGTACAATACTATTACCTAAACTACAGGTTTTATTTGATGTCCTCAGTTTTTCTATTCTGGGATCCCGTGTTGCATTTGCTTGACAAGCCCCTTAAATCTCCTCCAAATTTTTTTTTTTTTAAGATTTTATTTATTCATGACAGACCCAGAGAGAGAGAGAGAGAGAGGGGCAGAGACACAGGCAGAGGGAGAAGCAGGCTCCACGCAGGGAGCCTGACGTGGGACTCGATCCTGAGACTCCAGGATCACGCCCTGGGCTGAAGGTAGACGCTAAACCGCTGAGCCACCGGGGCTGCCCCCAAATCTCCTCCAAATTATACCGATTTTTCTATCTTTTATATTCTCTTATGACCTTGACACTTTGGAAAATAATGGTCACTTATTTTATAGAATGTTCCTCGATTGGGGTTTAATGTTTCTCAATATTAGATTGAAATTACGCATTTTTGGCAAGAATACAACAGAAATGGGAAACAGGGTGCACCTGAGTGGCTCTGGTTGAGTGTCTACCTTGAGCTCAGATCGGGATCCCAGGATCCTGGGATCAAGTCCCATATCAGGCTCCTTGGGAGGGAGCCTGCTTCTCCCTCTGCCTATGTCTCTGCCTCTCTCTGTGTCTCTGATGAATAAATAAATCTTTTAAAAAGAGAAAGAAATGGGAAATGGGTTATACCTAACTCTGTAAGGTATCTTATCGGGGGTATACCATATATCAAGGGGTTTGCTTTTCAAGGAGTAAATCTTATTACTGGGAATGATAACGGTGATTACTTGGTTAAGGTGATATCTGCTGGGTTTTTCCATTGTAAAGTTACTATTCTTCTCTTTGTAATTAAATATCTTGAGGAAGGTATTTTAGGGTTATACAAACATCTTTTCTCAAACTTTTGTCCCATTAATTTTAAAGAATCTCTTGATGGAGCTTGCCTGCAATAATTATTACTATAATGTTGACCAAATGATTTTCAATTAGGGAATCTTTTAATGCTACCAAATTTTCCAGAAATTCTGAGTAAGCATGGGGGTGGAGGGAAAGAGAAATTATTTTTTTTAAGAATTCATCTTTGTAAATAGCAGTTCAGATCCCTGTCGACTTCTTTATTTGCTGAAAGTTGAATTAGAAAGATGACAGTGAAGTACATGAACTCATGAGGCCCCTTTTTAATATTCCCCACTTGAGAGAAATATAAATTCTAAAGACACCTTCTAAGTTTTAAATTTAAATTTTATTTTTAGAGCTAACACATGAGTTTCTACAAATATTGGAGAAAACACCTAGTAGGTTGAAGAGGATTCGAAACTGGAGGGTAAGAGAATTGGCAGGGTTTTAATAGCATATCAGTGTGTTGCTTATCTAACAGTTACATAGCTAACCAGTTTTAATTTTTTGGTTAAATGTTCTTATTTCCTAAATGATTACAGTGTACATAAGCTGCATACACTCAGAGTTTATTCAACTGCTATGTCCAGTGGACTTTGTTAAGTACTTTATAAATTTTTTGTTTAATTTTCACAATGGTTATAATGAAAATATTCTCTTTTATTTTTACAAATGGGCAAATTAAAGCCTAGACAAGTTAAATTACTTTCTCAAATGCTGGGCTTGGATTTAACCTTATCTAACTCTGAAACCAATAGTATCCACCTTTTATAGCCGCCTTTTGTGCCTGTAAATAAGACATTCATTTACTGGCAGCATAAAGCTGTGAACCCCAGGTGTGATTTTTGTTTGCATAGAATTTATAAAGCAAGGAAATTTGTATTAAATTCCTTTGCTGTCATTGCTTCTTTTGTGTTTTATTTAAATAGGCTAATCAGGCGGCTAAGAAACCAAAAGTAGATGGACAAGTTTCAGAAACTCCACTTCTCGGTTCATCTTTGGTCCAGAATTCCATTTTAGTAGATAGTGTAACTGGTGTGCCTACAAACCCAAGTTTTCAGAAACCATCTACATCAGCATTCCCTGCACCAGTACCTCTAAATTCAGGAAATATCTCTGTTCAAGACAGCCATACATCTGATAATTTGTCAATGCTAGCAACAGGAATGCCAAGTACCTCCTACAGTTTGTCGTCACACCAAGAATGGCCTCAACATCAAGAATCAGCAAGGACAGAACAGATATATTCACAGAAGCAAGAGACATCTTTGTCTGGTAGCCAGTACAACATCAACTTCCAGCAGGGACCTTCTATATCACTGCATTCAGGATTACATCACAGACCTGACAAAATTTCTGATCATTCATCCATTAAGCAAGAATATACTCATAAAGCAGGGAGCAGTAAACACCATGGGCCAATTTCTGCTACTCCTGGAGTAATTCCTCAGAAAATGTCTTTAGATAAATATAGGGAAAAACGTAAGCTAGAAACTCTTGATCTGGATGTAAGGGATCATTATATAGCTGCCCAAGTAGAACAGCAACACAAACACGTGCAGTCACAGTCAGCCAGCAGCAGTTCTGTCACTTCTCCCATTAAAATGAAAATTCCCATCACAAATACTGAAAAACCTGAAAAATACATGGCGGATAAGAAGGAAAAGAGTGGATCACTGAAGTTACGGATTCCAATACCACCCACTGATAAGAGTGCTAGTAAAGAAGAACTGAAAATGAAAATAAAGGTTTCTTCCTCAGAAAGACATAGCTCTTCTGATGAGGGCAGTGGGAAGAGCAAGCATTCAAGTCCACATATTAGCAGAGACCATAAGGAGAAGCACAAGGACCATCCCTCCAACCGCCACCACCCCAGCAGTCACAAGCATTCCCACTCACATAGTGGCAGCAGCAGCGGTGGCAGTAAACACAGTGCTGATGGAATACCACCCACTGTTCTGAGGAGTCCTGTCGGCCTGAGCAGTGATGGCATTTCCTCTAGTTCCAGCTCTTCAAGGAAGAAGCTGCATGTCAATGATGCATCTCACAACCATCACTCCAAAATGAGCAAAAGTTCCAAAAGTTCAGGTAGTTCATCTAGTTCTTCCTCCTCTGTTAAGCAGTATATATCCTCTCACAACTCTGTTTTTAACCATCCCTTACCCCCTCCTCCCCCTGTCACATACCAGGTGGGCTACGGACATCTCAGCACCCTCGTGAAACTGGACAAGAAGCCAGTGGAGACCAACGGTCCTGATGTCAATCACGAGTACAGTACAAACAGCCAGCATATGGACTACAAAGACACATTCGACATGCTGGACTCGCTGTTAAGTGCCCAAGGAATGAACATGTAATCATTTGTTTAGGTCAATTTTTCCTTTACTTTTTTAATTTAAAAATTGTTAGAATGGAAAACTTCCTCCTGATCTGGCAGTGGTAACTGTTGCTGCCACTGCTTCAATATTTGTAAGTGCTGCTTTATTCTTCATTCTGAAAAGAAGAGATTATAGTAAACAAGTCTTTATCTCCACATATGATAGTGTTATAAATACTGTAAAAGCATGGAAGGTGCAAAACTCAGTATTTCTACAATTGCAGCTAAGAACATTAGGATGAATGGCTGGCTGCTTCTAGGAATATAAGATGCCTCAAGCATTCATTATTTATAATTTGAATACTGTAGCTATTTTTTGTTGTTGCTTGGCTTTTGAATGGGTGTAAATTGTTTTCTTTTGTGTATTTATACTTGTATGTATGTATGATTTGCATGTTTCAATGATAAAGGGATAAAACAGTATACTGACAACTGTTTACAAGAAAGTGGAGAAAAATGTACATACATTTTTGTATGTTTAGATATTACCATAAATACTCAGGATTGGAGCTGCTTGTAAGTATAACAATATAACTTTATTTTATTTTGTCAGAGTCCATCACTAATCTAAAACAAAGGTGGCACTTTTTCATGTTAACCTTAAACTCTAGGCCTTACTGGAAGCCACTGAAGGGGGACACTTCACTACCGGATGGGTATGCAGTGCCACAGATGGTCATTTATTTACACTGTGAGGCACTGAACTTTGGCCTTCAGAGCTTCTGACCAGGTTGGCTGCTGAAATAGCCCCTAATTTTCTGAAGGCTTGAAGAGGAAAAAATAAAGTTTACATACTCTTGATGTGAAGTGCATTTGAAATGTTTGTTGGCTTGTTGCAGTACTATAAACACAGAGCTGTTAATAATGGTTATGTAGATTACTGTGATTTGAAAACTAAATCCACAAAAACTTATATAGTGAAGAATTAGTAAGTTTTTTTCTTAAATAAAGAACTTTAACACTACATATTTTAACAGTAAACAGGGATTGCTTTTCCTTTAGTGTTCAGAATGACACCATATTCTTAAACATACTCCTCCCCCAAAGTGTGTTTGTGTGTGATGCCATATTTCTTTTTCAGGTAAATGCAGTCTTCCTTATAGAAATGAAATTAAACCTGTTGCTCTCTCAGTTCTTTTATATTCTAACAATAAATAAAAAGAAAAGATAACTGACTGTGCATTGTACCTGTATTTATAACTTATGGTTGTTATCAGGAAACTGAGAAAAAAGGGGTAGCCTCCAGGTAAACAAGCTAGTGGAGGTTTTACATTTGTTTGCACATCTCAGTATATTCCTGTTGAGGTCAAGTTTGCACAGTCATCTAACTTCTGAACAAACAATAGACTATGTTTAAAATTTGTCTTAAATACCAGTAATGTGGCTCCAGTTTATCAGCTAATCTTGAATTAATCTGTGGTAAATCTTTGAGCTGTTGAGTGTCTTTAGATGGGGTGAATTCAACTTTTGTTGAACTGAAAACTGTCTTAATTTTTTCCTCTATGTATATGAATTATTTTTGTTACAAAGCCACTGATATGTGCACAATTGTAATTTTACTCAAGTATGTTGCAGTTGTAAATATTAGAGAATTTAATCTCGTGCTCTTTTATTTAGCAATTACCTAATTTGCCAGTAGCTTTATAATTTTTTTTAAGATAATTGTTCATTATTTTGTCAATGTTATTTGAACTTAGGATACTAGGAGCCTCTTTCTAGGGACTTTGCCTAGCTAGCATGTCCTAACATTTGTTCTTTGTCTTGCATAACTTTAGTAATCTTTGTCATTACATGTAACTTTGTTGCTCTGTATGGCATATTATTGTATCCATAAACATGGTAATTTTGATACAGTTATACTTTTACAGTGGTACATAATCCAAGGACTAGTATAGAATTAAGCTGAGTGCAAGATGAGGGCGGGAAGGGTTTTTGTTCTTGGTAATTTAGATGTGAAACCTCTAAGGAGCTATCATGTGAAACGACATAGGGTGGTCGTGCTACTGTATAATTGGGGATGATAATACCAGGAATTTTAATAAGATTTTGTAAAGAATATCCAAAAAAAGTAGTGAACTTATTTTCAGTATGACATAGAAAACAATGTGAATATTTAAGGTCTGTGACTATACTTAAACTTCACTAAGAATTTGCAGAATTGTTTTGAGATGTGGGAATAAAGGTAATTTTGTTGAATCTTTATTGGTGCTAATGATGGACAGTTTAAAAGGTAGCTAGTATATATTGTTATGGGTCAGTACTTATTAGTACTTCCAAAATTGAATTTGAAATGCTATGTATTCACTTTTCACTCTGTAAATGTAATTCTTTACAATGACTTTATTTATTAAAGGGCAGCCAGTTGTAATTTGTACAGGATTGTGTGAGCTATTCAAACTCTTTAACCTCTGAACAGGATTATAGCTTCCAAAACCACCATGGGGTTGAATATGAAAATCCTTTTAAGTTTCATTTCCATTAAATGAAAACCCCTATTACTCATACTACCATTAATTTGCTTTCCCCATCTCATTTGCATAAAATAGTTCATCAGCCTGGTCCCAATAGGCTCAACCAAAGAAAAAGACTCCAATGAATGGACATTATTACTGAGTCTTCTTGTAAGTAGCCATAAATAAACCAAAATAGTATCATCAGATTTAGATATGAAATTCCACATGTGCAAAGTACTGTTAAGGTGATTTACATTTTTGATGAGATTTTTTTAATATTTGAAATATTAAAAAGCATTATCTTTAAACATCCTTTAAAAGAGTGAGTCATTTTTCAGTTGTCTTTTCCCTAGATCATAGTTTTGTTACCTTTATGCAGAAGCACATTGCATAGAAAGGCTTTACTTCTACCTCTTTAATAGTTTTCCAGTATCGAACTGTGCCCCCTAAATATTTGCCTTAGCTACTTAAGATATGTTTTCAGAACCAAAAAGCAAGAGTGTCTTTTCATTGACACATTTTTGGAGGCCTACTTTACCAAACTGATGGGATTATCCTTTAGTGATTACAACCTTACAAAATGTTCCAGTTTCTTTTTGTTGTTGAACCTGAGGTTCATTTCTTAGGTTTGTCTTTGAAAGCATTACAGGTGCATCTTGTTCTTTCTCTGTGTGTGCAGATGCATTCTGGTTAGAGTTGTTGAGTTCAGGTTTCTACCATGGTACATCAGTGGTTTTTTGTGGAATAACATGAGAGGTGCTTGCATGACTTTGAACCAGCAGATTATAATTACGTATAGAATACCTTATCTTTTTGGTCTGTCTTCCTTGAACTTAAATGACTGGTCTACTTCAGAGAACCAAATTTTAAATGTTTTTGTTACTTACCAATTGCCTTTCCTAGCATTTTAAGCACATTTTTTGGTTATACTTGAGAATTTAAGTTGCTGATTCTTATTCCTGAAACCAACCTTAGAAATAAACCACTGCGTGATTTGTGTACTGTAGAAGTATCTTGGGTTTGGTTAGATATTTTAGGGTATTTTGCATTTACTGTGGAAATAAGTAAGGGTGGTGGTGGTTGTTTTTAACATGGTAGTAGCTCTAAAGGAAGACTTATATTCTCAAAATATCTCACCATTCCCAAATTTTATCTAAACAGTAAGCAGTTGTTTCTTGGCTATTTCTGTGCTTAAATTGCTAGGTGAGTTTTAAGATCTCTTTGCTGAGAAAAAATTGAGAGCTCTTGTGAAGAATTCTTGATTTAGTAGTCTTGCTCAAGAGGCTTTCTTGGGAGGCAATAGGGTTCACTAACTGCATTTATCCAGATGAAGGGTCAGTGAATCCCACATCCAGGAAACTTGCATTAACTGAGCTCACAGAATGATACTTATGTGTATTTGTGTGCCTTTGTATTTAAGATAGGCTGGTTTAGATGGGGATCTTTGTGTTGGAAAACAGCACATTCTCTCTCTGTCCTCCTAGGGTACAAGTTATGATACCGATGTATTAATTTGAGAATTCACAATTACATTAATATCTGAAATTTGATTTCTGTAAGCCAAATAGAAGTTTGCTTATTTTGTAAGGGAAGTTTGCCTTTATAATATAGATGATCTTGCCAGTGGGTCTGGAATGCTCAGTATAATTTAAGTCTGATGCCACGCATCCATTTTTTATTCTACAGTGTCGATTTTGGCACAGCCAGCTTTTGCTTCTCTGACTCCTTTTTCTGTTCTATATAATTTACTAGTTTCTATTTTCACTTGACAGGTTCTTTAGAATAGGTTGATAAGCAAGATATACTGAAGGTTGTGTGGCTAGGAGTAATTCTGTTTTCATAAAGGTGAGTTAACCCATTCGCTGTGATCCTCTAATCCCAAAGGAAATTCTGAGGGCCAATTTCCTATGTTTCCAACTTTTGGGAGAAAGCCTCGCTTAAAACTTGCTTAGTAGTTGGTTTGATTTGCCTGTTGTTTGTTAAGTAATGAGTACATTCTTTTAAGGTGTGTTTTTCAAGCAGCTTCACTTGGTTTGAAAAACTTCACATGTACTCATTTGTTGTCTGCAATGATTGGGATTTTATTTTCTGAATGTACCCCAAACCCCCAAAGACTATTGAATAAGGTATTTGCTGATAGAAAATCCAACAGGAATGTGTGTATGAGGCATCAATTCAATTAGTTATTGAATTTCAGCTCAGTATCTATTACAAGGAATAATTAATAAAATTTGTTGAAAATGTAAATCCAAGGCTCTATCATGTCTTGTTCATGTGAATCAGAAATAACTTTCAGTCCTTGGGAAATACGGGAAATAAGGTCTTAATGTAAGTTTCTCTTTCTGAGTAACTTCATAAATCATCAAGGAGTATGACCTTTGAGTTCATTCAGATTGTTTGTATTCCAGTCTCAGACCCACCACTTAGTAGCTGATATCCTTGGGTGAATTACTTGACTTTGGGCCTTGATTTCCTTACCTACAAAATGTACCTATTTGTAGGGTTGTGAGGTTTAAGGTTTGGCCGATCAGGGAAGGATAAATAGAATAGATGGCATTGACGAGAATCTTAATAGATATTGGAGGGAGGGGATCCCTCATGGTTCAGTGGTTCAGCGGTTTAGCGCCTGCCTTCAGCCCAGGGCCTGATCCCAGAGACCCAGGATCGAGTCCCATGTCAGACTCCCTGCGTGGAGCCTGCTTCTCCCTCTGCCTGTGTCTCTGCCTCTCTCTGTCTCTCATGAATGAATGAATAAACAAACAAATCTTTTTTAAAAAATAGGTATTGGAGGGAATGATGAAACCCAGTCCAGGTGCATTAAACTTGGGTGTGTATTAAACTGCATGCCTCCTGTTTCCAGAATTTAACTTGTTCACTTTTATTCATACTGTGGGATTTCCTTTGTTAAATTGTTGCATCGCCTCCCCAGAAAGCAAAGAGGAATTACAGTTATCTGAAGGGGAACTATCCATGAAAAAAATATCCAATTATAAACTGACATATAATTGCTGATCTCTCCAGCCCTTTGCCTTCTGCACCAATTTACGCGCACCTTCCACTTGAAAGAAAATTGAAGCCATGTAGTGGCTTTAATAAAATAGAACTAGGATAGAAAAGTTACTTATAAAGTTTGTCAGTTCCACTTAACCAGTGTTAGCAATTCCACTTTATAATCCATCATACTCCATCCATTGTTCCTTCCCTCTTTTTTTGCCCTGCTGTTGTCAATATAATAATTTAAAAAAAGTATGTTTTTGTTTTAGCTCTGGTATATGACCTACCTGTGCCCTCTCCCCAACACCACCTCCCAAAGCAGTGAAGAGCATCACTTTTGAAAGGCTTTTTATTTTATTGCCGTGAAATTAAGAGCTTTTAGGCTTTACAAGTGTCAGGTCATATACCCAAGATTGGTTTTATTTTGTTTTAGCTTTGAAGTCATAAGAGCAGTTACTCTGCAGATGAATTCAGCCATAGTTTTTCACAAGTTTTTGAGAATTGATGGCAATAGGACAAAGTACTTTAGCTTTTCCTCAGGATTGTTTACTATTCCAGTTTTTCACTTTTTTTTTTTTTTTTGTTAATTGTATTAATCACCTGTGAAGATACAGACTGCCTATATTGGGTACTTGAAAGTTGACAGGATGTCTTGGAAAGCCTTTTTAAATGCTCTACATTACATAGCAGCTTTAGGCTGAATTAATACTTGCAAATGCAACAAGTATGTGGAATGAAGATGGTCTAGTAGGTGGAAGCTTTTGACTGCTCATGAGCAGATTTAGTGGTTTTTTATCCTTGAGCTGTTCATTACAATACAGAAGGCTGAGTACTGTAGTGGTCATGCAGGAGGAAGTGGATAATGGAATACTCTGCACTCCCCAGTCCCATACTCGAGAGCTTGCTCTTTTCCACTGTGGCAACTCATCACTCTGCCATTGAGATGGGTCTACCGTGTAAGGACTAAAGTACATTAAAGTTAGGGAAGAACTGTAAAGTTGGAACTACTTTTAGAATTTTACCCAGGAAGTGAAATTTCCTTTGAGCATGGGGCCCAGAGCATTCAGGAAGATTCCTTACATAATGAAGTATATTTTTAAATATGATTAAAAACAAGCATTGTGTGTGGTGAAAAGGGAAGTGATACCGTGCTAAGTGAAAAAAATTTTTTTCACACCATTAAAGTAATCAAATGCACTAACTAGACTGGTGGAATTTATCAGCTTCCCAGTGGGGTTTTGTTTGGGTAAAACTTTATTAGCCACACATCTGAGAAGCAACAGGGAAAGAGCTGTAACATCACACAAATTACTGAGTGACAGTCCCAACTTCCACCAACCAGTCAGACGGCCTTGAGAAAGTCATTTAGCTCTTAACCCTGTCCTTCATTAACAAATTGAGAATACTACTACCAATCCAAAAATAATTAGATGAGGTGCTTTTTTATACTAAGAGCTTGGTAAATGCTAGTCCTTCCAGCCACCACTTACCTGCACTCCCAAGCTCCTTTTGGACCCTCCTCACTTCGCACTCCCAATCTTCTTTCCAAGGAAGATTAAAAGCAAATATCTGAGCAATGATGATAATTCCAACATGTTATTATCTTAAATGACATTTAAGACATGTCTTAAATGACATTTGCCAATGAATGGCAAAAACAACAGATTCTACTTACTGTTCCAAAGTTGAGTTCAGTATTCTATCAATAGGGAAGGGTTAAGGTTGTTAACACCAACTTCATGCTTTTTCCCCTAGCCTTTCCTCCTATGTAGTTTGCTCCTAAATCCGATAAAGCCATCCAGATTTTAAAGAATGCTTAAAAAAAAAAAGAATGCTTAAGAGCTCTACTAAAATTTTTTTAAAACCACTTCAACAAAATATTTCAGGTTATGCTGATATACAAGTAAGTGATGGACATAAATTATGGTCAAATGCGAGAAAAGAGCTGGACAAATTGGAAAAAAGGAAAGTGTACCCACAAAGACCTATCGAAACATGTTGGCCAGTGAAAAGATTCTGTAGAGATAGCCCAAAACAACAGGTGTCAGTGAATGGGTGGAGTCACAGCAGTAGAAACCTTATCAACAGTGCTTCATCCTCCAACTTAAAACAAGGCTCGGGTCAGGTCATAATCTCAGGGTCCTGGTGTTAGACTTCACGCTCAGCAGGGAATCTGCTTGAGGATTCTTTCTGTCTCCCTCTCTAGCCCCCCCCCCCCCATGCACTTGTGGACGTGCTCTCTTTCTCTCTAAATACATAAATCTTTTTTTTAATTGTAAAAAGTTGACCTCAGTGGGAATGCCCTTCATTCAGGTGAAATGAGCGAAGTGCCCTGAAATGTTTATATGCCAACCCACTCCCCTTTATCAGATCTTGCTTTTGCCCTACTAGCTGGCTTAGTTTCAGCTAGTTCTAGGTGTGCCATGTTCACCCTGCAAATAAGTGAGGTCTCCAAGTCATACTATAAGTTTCTAGGAAAACAGCCTAAGGTGCATGGAACTACCTTGATTACTACAGCTTCTTGTAGGTGGAGACTTAGGAGGAGTTAGGGGACACTCTGAGAATGAGACGTCAAGGCCCTTAGCTCTTCCTGTTGACTGAGGGGCCTGTATTCTGCAAAGATTGCAGCCAAAGTAAACCATATAGCCTCTCTCTAGTTTTAAGCTTCTCACCTTCTTCTAGTTTCCTTTTCAAGAATTAAAGTCTTTACCCACCAAGCAAAACAAAATACAGTTTTCTTGTTTTTACAATTTATTTCAAAGTAAAGACCTTAATTGATAGGCCAAAAATAAAGGCTACAGTCCTATAAAGCAACAGAGATTGTGATTCCTGGACAGTCAAAGCTGTAAACACTGGAATAGGTTTTTTTGTTGTTACTGTTGAAAAAAAATTTTTTTCATATATGTGAGTAACCATGCCTGAAGCTTGAGGAGGCTAGTATGTAACAAACTTTTTTAGTTAGTGACACTGCAGGATCTGGTTAAACTGGGTTGAGTTGACTTAACGTTAGGAAAACAAAAGTCCCTTAACCATCATTCCCACAATGAAGCAATCACAAAGTGCCTATAAAGGAAACTGGAAAGAAAAGTTGATGTATGTTCAGTGACTTCTTGTCAAGAAGGAATGCTTCAGGAGCTGGGCAGCAGAAGGTCGCTCATGCTGGTCCCTAAGAAGGGAAAAACAATTTAGAAACAGTACCCCACAAGTGCCTCCCAGCTGGGTCTACTTGACACAAAATGCCAACTTTAAAAACAGAAGTAGAGGGGCACCTGGGTGGCTCCATTGGTTAAGCAACTGACTTGATTTAGGCTCAGGTTTTGATCCCAGCTTCTCCCTCTCCCTCTGCCCCTCTGCTTTCCCTTCTTGTGTGTGTGCTCACTCTCTCAAATAGAAATCTTTAAAAAAAAAAAAAAAAGGAAAGAAAGAAAGAAAGAGAGAGAAAGAAGAGAAAGAAAGAAAGAAAGAAAGAAAGAAAGAAAGAAAGAAAGAAAGAAAGAAAGAAAGAAAAAGAAATTAAGCTTTTGCCAGTAAACTAGTCAACTGGTGAACCCGTTAATGGTTATCTGCAATGACCTATTCCAAAGACATTATTTTGGGTAAATTGGGTAAATTGACTTTGATAATTTTTGTGGCATGGATGAGGGTAGGGAGAGGCTAGGAGGGTGGTGGGGAATAACTATCAAGAATAGAAATGGAGGTGCAGCCTGGGTGGCTCAGTGGTTTAGCGCCACCTTCAGCCCAGGGTGTGATCCTGGAGACTGGGGATCGAGTCCCGCATTAGGCTCCCTGCTTGGAGCCTGCTTCTCCCTCTGCCTGCATCTCTGCCTCTCATGAATAAATAAAATAAAAATCTTTTTAAAAATTTAAAAATAAAGTGGCCATGAATTATTTTGAAATAAAACCACCCCTTTTGGAATCTCTGTCTCCTGTCTTCAAAATATGCAGAAATCTCTCCAAAGATAATTTCTTTAATGTGGTCACACCCAGTGACCACTCATCCTAAGTCCTTACCATTTTCAACACTCATCCTAAGTCCTTACCATTTGGCCCAGTCCTCTCCATAGGAATTGCCCTCTTAAAATTAACCACATTTGGTACACCTGGGTGGCTCAGGGATTGAGCATATGCCTTTGGCTCAGGGCGTGATCCCAGATTCCAGGGATTGAGTCCCACATCGGGTTCCCCACATGGAGCCTGCTTCTCCCTCTGCCTGTGTCTGCCTCTCTCTGTGTGTCTCTCATGAATGAATAAAT